TAATTGTCAGCCAGGGTTTGTGATGGATCAGGATTTCATTGAAACTCAGTAAAACTCATATTGCTGGAAAGGAAAAGAGGTTGTAACTTGAAGTAGGAGCCACAAGGATGCTGGAAATGTGGAATTCTCAGCTGACAGCAGCTCCTGCTCTGAGCCGTGGGGTTGTTCTTAATCACTCCCAGCTTTTATTCATCCACAGCTTCACCAAAACTCTTCAACTCAGAGCCTGATTGCAATTTCTGCCATAAAGCTAATTAAGTATAATACAGACAAAACTGAGCACTCCTCTGATTCCTGTCAGATAAGTGAATGCAAACTATGAGCCTTTTGTCTGTAAGAATAATTACAAATCCAGTAAGTTTAAGGTCACCAACTATTGAAGACCCTGTTGTTTGATACATTTCCAGTTTCTGAAATCAGTTAAATCTAGGCTATGCAAAATACAAATTTTCTTTGCAGGAATAGGATTTTTTTTGTTTGTTTGTTTTTTGCTAATAAGAGGCAATAATGCCTAATTATCCTTCTCTGTGATCTCCTTTTAGTGCTGCAGTGAGTTACCACTGGCTAAGAAACAAAAGTCTACTACTGTTTATTCCACTTGCACAGTGCATTGAACTGGAAATAAATCTTTAAGACTTCTCTGGTGAGCAAAAATCACTCATAGCTTACAAGCTGGAAGAATTGATAGATCTCTCTTCTGGTTTTGATGGGTTTTTCAGTTAAAATTTCAGGAATACTGTGGGATCACTGCCTCAGTATGGCTTGGTTAAACAGCTCCCTCAGGTAAGTGGGTTGGAAATTGCTCTTTTCACATCCCTTTTCTTTGAAAAATTCAACAAAACTTGCCTTGGGTGTTCTCTGGGTAGATATTAGTTTACCCCCATGCTACTTTCTCTATATCTCATCCAGCTCTGAGCATGGAATAGAATCCCAGAATCCTTTAGGTTGGAAAATACCTCCAGGATCATCGAGCCCAGCATGACAATCCCCACCTTGTCACCAGCCCAGAGCACTGAGTGCCACATCCAGCCTTTCCTTGCATTTTTAAATCAAGATATTGGTGTGATGTCCCTCACTGTGTTGATATGAAAAAGTGAGGAAAACTTGAATATTAACAATTCCCTGTGCTGTGTTTGGTACTTCAGTATTTGGTATATTAGATTTTTTTAAGGCTGTTCTATGTCTTTTCAGACATGAAATGTTCTTGGATAGACTCTTCTGCTAATTAGCTGATACTCATAAAGTAAAACAACTGCAGCTATGACAGGAAATATTTTATTGTTGTTCTTTGGGGGTTTTCTTGGCCATTTTTAGCTGTGTGTATTCCTGCTGAGGTGGTGATAGTTGAGATGGGCCAGGCAGTTTTTCATTTTCCTATTTAGCTGATAATTCCAGAACTGTGGAAGCACAGCCAGTTCTGTGAGTGGGCTGTGAGCAGAAAAGGGGAGCTCTGAGACAACTCTTGAAGTCCCAGGAATTTCCAGAAAATGGAAAATTCTGCTTACAAGTGCTGAAGCTTCCCTTGTCACCTCCCCCACCACTAAATTCAGGTCTCATTATGTAAGTCAATCACGATTGCCACGTGGTCAAATGAGGGGAAGTTTTCCTCCTGGGGTAATTGTGTGTTGGAGAAATCTGGCTTTATTCCTGTTCACAACACTGAGTTTGATGGTCCTGGAGCAGAGGAGCAGAACAGCTCCTGGAGAGCATTTCCTTGCACCTCCCAGCAGTCAGGGATGTACTCTGGGCTTGTTAAAGCATTCATTTATTTGCCTTGCACTAGCAGTGAGAAGTCATTAATCTTTATATTCAGCTGTATTTTAGTTTTTACTGTTTTTGCTTAGATGCTTTATGCCAAGCAAACTCAATTGCTATGGATGAGGGATTTTTTTCATGGCATTTCTTGTTGCTCCCACAATATGTGACATAGTTTAGCAAAACTGTATTGATCTTCTGATGGTTTTAGGTGTGCAAAGTACCACAAGATGCAGAACACTTCGGCTGTGGCATCCCAAATAGGAGCATTTAATTAATTCCCCAAATAACAAAATAAATGTTCATATTATGTACACTTGCAACTTCGGTTACATTTTTAATTCTAGACAAAATGTGACTTTTATATTTCCAAAATGTTGAAGTGTGGATTGTTTCTTGTGAAGAAATATTCCTGTGATCTGTGGCAGATGGAAAAACCTTTTAGCTGGGTGGCCAAAGGGATGTGACACCTGTCAGTGTGACAGCAAAGCCTCATTGCTCAGGCTGGACCAGGTTTCAGCTGCGCTGGGTTAATTGGCTAATTGTTAATTGAGTTGCAGAGATCCCTGATTGGGAGGAGCTGGACTTTGGCTGCAGTTCTGGACCTTAGCCCAAAATGTGACCGAGGCCAGGTGCTGCCCTCCCCATAAAGTGGATTTCCCCCCATATCCCATATCCTTGTTCAGTGCAGTTCTCCTGGACATTGACTCCGTGGTGAATCATCTGGGATTCTGCAAGGGAGTTCTTTTTCCATGGAACGCTGGGCATTGCATTTCCTGGAGCTTTTTCACTATTTAATTTGCAAGTTTGCATCTTCAGAACTATTTATGATTCATCTCTGATTTTTTTTATTCCTCCCACAAGTGCTTTGAGTTCTGTTTTGTTTTTTTTTATGATTTTATGAATTTAAAATACTCTCTGGCAAGAAACTTGAGAATCATCACAGAATCCCAGAATGATTTGGGTTGGAAGGGACCTCAAAGCTCATCCCATTCCATGGGCAGGGACACCTTCCACTATCCCAGGTTGCTCCAACCTGGCCTTGAACACTCCCAGGGATGAGGCACCTACAACTTCAGTTGTAAATAATACATTAAATATAATTTAATTTATTAAGGAAACTTTAATTTTTTTTTAATCTGCCTCTGCAGTTAGTTTACCCAAATTTATAAATTTGGGCAATAAATACAAGAAAACACTTGGAAAAAAACTCACCTGTAACCTGTCAGGTTAAATGGATACAAGTTGGTGGCTTGGTTAACAAGCCTGGTTTATGGTAAGTTATTCCAATTCTTCAATAGCTTTATTAAAATTACAGTTCTTATGGTTTTATTTATTTGTTCAGATATTTATTCCATGTGTTGCTTTCTAGCTGGAGCATTTGGGCTGTCAGGTTTCACTGGTTCTGTGAGGTTTGGTACCTCCTTTAATGGGCTTTTCTCCTAATGAAGTACTGGAGACCATGGAGGGGGCGAGGAAACTCCAGAGGAATTGAAACTGCACTTCACAAGTTCACAGGATTTACAAATCTCCCTTTCCTAATCTCCAAACGTGCAGCATGGAAGAGCAAAACAGCCTCAGCAGGAGCCAGTTCTGATTTCCAGGCTGAAAATTCTGGAATTTTCCCCTCCCTATGCATTTCCATGAATTTTGATGCTCATCTCCAGTTACAGCATTTCCCAAAGTGTGGATCAGAGCAGTGGAAGTGGAGAGCTGAGGTAGCCCAGGAGAGACCCCTGCCAGCAAATCCTCCTTGCTGATGGTTCTCCTTTTTTTTGGGTTTGATTTGGGTTTTATTGAGGGGAGATATTGGAGGAAAAAGAGCTCCTTGAAAGCAGGGAATGGCTGCAAGGAAACAAATGAAAGGAGCTGCCTGAACTGGCACTGATGCCTCAAAAATGTTGTGTGTAATTGCTGCTTGAGCAGAGCTCTGCTTGTAAATCTGTCAGCACCCTGTGAATGTTTTGTGGGGTTTGGAGTACCCAGTTCTGAGCCTGCCTCGTTTTATCTGCTTTGAGAAATGTAACTCACTGTAAATCTGATGGGAGACATCCAACTACAGCTGTTAAGCCATATTGTTCCTTGGTTTCTCTCCTGTTTTTTTAGGAAATTTTTATTTTTCTTGGTTTCTCTCCTGTTTTTTTAGGAAATTTTTATTTTTCTGTTAAAGACAATCTGGATGGAACTGTCCTTACTCTGCTTGTGATTTATATTAATAGGGAGATGGTGGAAATGTTTGCTCAGCAATTGAAAAGCATTGGTTGCTTCAGGGGAATAAATAAATAAATTGGGTTTTGCTGGACTGTAATGTTTGGTTTAATGTTTTTCTGAGGTGTCTGAAGGTGGCTCACCTGTGCAGGAGGGTTTCTGTTTGGGCAAGGTTAGACTTGGAGTGACTTGGGCATTTAAAGCGGAATTAGGAATCCAAAGTGTTTGGATTCTGCACAAAGGAGCTCAGGAATGTTGGAACATCAGCAAGAAGCATTAAAGAACAAGGTGGAGAGGGATGAGGGAAGGTACCAACCCCAGATATTCCCATCAATAAGGGGCTGGTGAATTGAAAATGGAAAGAGATGAAGAAACCACTTGGAATATGAAGTGGACCAAATTAAAATTAAAAATATAACATTGGAATGCTTTAGTTGTTGCTTTATGTGCCACATAAGGGCAGTGGTGGTTTTCAGTTGTGTCTAAAACAGCAGAGTCCATCCTCAGTGTACTGCTGGAAATTCAAGGATGTGTCAAAATGCACTGTGAGCTCCATACCTTGAAATTAAAGGTAACCAAGCCAAAGCACTCTCAGGTGATCTGAGATGTGATAAAACTCTTCCTTCCATTCTTCTGGGGGTTTGTAATCAAAAACTTCACTTGTCCGTAGTATTTTGCAAAATAAAGCTAGAAAAATACAGAATAAGTTTCTTTATTTTTACAGTGCATTCTTGACTAAATTGAGTTGCTGTTTCTAGATCATTGTGGCCAACCTGGTGTTTTAAGTGAGAACAGCTGGTTGTGGTAATTTCCAAATAAACTCAAATGTAGAAAACCCCTCTGTTAGATCAGATTACTGATTTTGGCTGAGGGAGTTGAGATTTTAAATGAGACCTTGGTACATTTATGATAATAAAGCATCACATTCATTTAATTCTGACAAAATACTGATTTTCAATGGAAGTAAATTATTTCCTAAGCTTTGGGTTTTTTTGGGAAATTTCTATTTTCTCTAACATAAATATTGTTTTTTGTAGGGCGCCAATGCCTCTGCTTTGGAGAAAGAGATTGGTCCTGAGCAGTTCCCTGTGAATGAGCATTATTTTGGCTTGGTCAATGTAAGTGAATTTTCTATGCTTAAAATGCTGGGTTTTAATTCACATCCTAATTTGGAGCTTAGCAGGATTCTCTGAGAACTTGATTGATGAGACTTCTCACTTAGAGTGGGACTGAGCACAGACATCCTGCAGTGTGCTCATTAACCAAGATAGCATTTCATATGAAACACAGAGAAATAAATGTATTTCTTGTAGAGTCTGTGAGAGAACTCTTCCTCCTCTAGTTCATTTCCACTTCTAAGATTTAATATTTAGCTGGAAAATTGGAAATAATAAAGTGTGTCCATTGTTCATATACTGTTCCAGAGAAGATTTTCCACTGATGCTGCAGTGCAGGGGAGGCTTTAAAAGGAGGCTTTAAAATTAAAACGTGTTACTTTTTAGTTCTAAAAACACCCCTCTCGTGGGAGAAGTGGAAGTTTTGTGCAGGAGATGAATGATATGGAGTGGGTGGATAATTCCTTCGTGTTGTAATACTCCTTCTGGATTTTTGGTGTAGCCATGAGCCCTCCAAAAAGCTGGATTTTTGCAGTTTGTGTGGCTGTGGGGCAGCAGAGCTGCCTGCCAGCATTAGCTGTGCAGAGCATGTTGATCCTGGTGAGTTCAGAGCAGCAGCAGTTCTGTGGCATCCTATTCATGATGGGAAAATGCAATTTTGGCAGAACTCACTAGAAACAATTGTTCCTGTGTTCTCGTCATCAGGGTTGTGTTGAGAGCTGGGAGATGCTCCATGTCTTCACACACCAAGTATGGCCAACTAAATAGTATTTATTGAGCTCATTAGAGACCCAGTTAATTGAGTTTGTGTGGGTTTCTAACAGTTTATATTTCAGACACCCAGCTACCCAAACACCCAGAATTCTGTTCCCTACGTGGGGTGTTGGTGGCCATTCCAAAGCTGCTGAGGTTTGCACCATAATGGCAAAAATGGAATTGTAACAGAAATAGCAAAGACTGAATGGTGTGAGGAGGAAAAACAGCATCCTAAAAATAACCAGAGTTATTAGAACCCCATCCATTCTCTGTTTTGAAGGACAAACATGACTAACACTGTTGGGCTTCATTTCTTGCAACTGGTTTCTTGAGGGTGGTGTTTTCACACTGTTGTTCTGCTGAGCTTTTTCTGAAGTTATTTCTGGTTCTTTCATGATTTGGAATTAATTGGAGCATTTTAAAGAGGTCAGTTTCATGGCTTCAGCTTCAGTGCTGTTAAATGTGTGATGGCACTGCAAATACAATCAGGTGTTGAACTCGTGGGCAATGGAGGCCAAAGCTTTGGGTTGAATAATTATTTAATTTTTGGATCAGTAAGCTAAAGCAACCTGACTCTGTTAAACTGTGTCTAAAGCCACTGCAGAATATGTGGGAAACTGTTAAAATAGTTTATATTTACTAAAGCCCAAGAGGATGGAACAGTGGTGAAACAATTAATTCCAGAATTTCATCTCAATTTTCATTTTAAGAAGCTCCTATCTTCAAATAAGCTTTCAGACTTAGGATGCATATTTTGTGTTGTGTGCAGATTTATTTAGCATGATGCTTCTTTGTTTTTGTAGGTCACTAACAAGCATGTGAGTGATTCTCTCTTGTAATTCATGTGTTTGTTTAGTTTTCATATTTATTTTCCTCATGTCAGTAAGTTTTAACTGTTGTTCCCTGTTGTTTGCACATGGTGTAAATCAATGTCAATCTGTGACCTTTTGAGCTGTATGAATGAAGCTATTCATTTTCGGTTTCAGTCAAAGTGATTGTTACCTTGAAACCATTCTGCTGCAGTAATCACACCAAATTTGGGTGAGCAGTGGCCATGTCTCAGTGTATCACCTAAAACCAGTCTGCTCTGCCGACAGATTTTTATGCTTTTTTTGGTTTATTTAAAATATATTGCTCTTGGGGTGCAGAATGTCATTACCAGAATATCTGGGGACTGGCAAACCCAGAATTTGTGTCCCTTTTATGAAGCAGCAGCACAGTAGATTGCAGAGGAGCAGCTCTGAAGCCATGGTATGTGGTTGTGGGTGATAAGCTGATATCCTGGTGTCCTCCTTGTTCAGCCACGGGGAGCAGCCTCTGCAAGGCCTTATCTGTCCCTGACACCGCCTTCACACAGGCCAGATGCAAACCAGCTGCTCTGTGCATGGCCCTGCATCATGTGCTGCTCAAAACATTCTGTTATAAGCAGAAAATTCTGATTTTATTATTAATTTGTAATAGGTTTTGCCACTGGGATTGGCTCAGCTGGTCAGAGCAGGGTGCTGGAAGTGCCAAAGCTGTGGGTTTGATCCCTGTGTGGGTTGTTCACCTAAGACTTGGACTCGGTGATCCTCGGGGGTCCCTCCCAACTTAAAACATTCTGTGGAATTTGTTATTTATTTATTTAGTGTCCTTGCTACCTCTCCCCTCTCAGGATGATGAGTTGTGCTGTGTCTCCACAAATTTGGATTCTTTGCTGAACCCTTAATTACTTTTTGTGTGTATTCCCAGTGTCCTGTGAGTGTTGTCTCCGCTCCCTTCCCTTGCTGTCACAAGGTGCAGCCTTTCCCTTATTCCATCCAGTGTTTCCCCTTATTCCATCCAGTGTTTCCCCTTATTCCAACCAGTGTTTCCCCTTATTCCACCCAGTGTTTCCCCTTATTCCATCCAGTGTTTCCCCCATCCCAATCAGGGTTTCCCCTTACTCCAAGCAGTGTTTCTTCCCATTCCAACCTGTGTTTCTTCCTCCCATCCCAACCAGTTTCCCACCACTCCAAGCAGTTTCCCCTCATTGCAACTTGTGTTCCCCCCATTCCAAGCAGTGTTTCCCCCATTCCCCCCATCCCAACCAGTGTTTCCCCCATCCCACAAGTGGTGTTTCTCCCCATTCCAACCAGTTTCCCCACCATTCCAGCCAGTATTTCCCCCATCTCACAAGTGGTGTTTCCCCCCATTCCCACCAGTGTTTCCCCCGACTCCAACCAATGTTTCCCCCATTCCCCAGTATTCCCCAGTAAATGAGCTCTGCCAGGTGACTCCTCCAGTTTCACTGTGTGACGTTCTTGAACTCTCTTCCTGTCATTCCTTTTTGGCAGCCCTAATCCAAAGGCCTTTGTTTTCCCTCTGTTCTGTTTTTTGACCAGTTCGGCAATACCTGCTACTGCAACTCGGTCTTACAGGCACTTTATTTTTGTCGGCCATTTCGGGAAAAGGTTTTGGCATACAAGGTGCAGCCTCGAAAGAAGGAAAGCCTCCTGACCTGCCTCTCTGATCTCTTCAACAGTATTGCCACACAAAAGAAGAAGGTGGGAGTCATCCCACCCAAGAAATTTATTTCCCGCTTGAGGAAGGAAAATGGTAAATGAAGAAATTATTTTTTAATGCATTTTTAAGCATGTAAAATGTTAAATGTGGGTTTCTTTTGGAGTCTGAATTGTCAAGTTTTAACAGGTTTCTTGGAGATTTTTGTGGTGTGAAGTTCACCACCTGTGTGCTTGTCCTGTGAGTTGTTCTTATCTTAGTGTCTGTGTTTCTGGACTTGAAATGTCCAGATATTCCACACTGGTATGGTGCTCCCTAGAGGAACAAAACACACTCCAGGTCATTGCTCCAGGCTCTCATGAATTCTCACAGGAGACCCAGCCACTCATAACCTGTTCTCTTGCATTTGTGGCAGGATTAATTCCTTAGGATCAGAACTGGAGGTTATTTCCCAGGGCTGTTTGGTGAGGTGATTTTTGTCTGTTGATTTCTCCTCTGTGCTTGAACTTGAAAAGATAACAAACTTCCAGTAGGGGATTTTTGCCCCTTGCTGCTGAATTTAATGAACCAGTGGCTCAAGGCAACACATTTGAATTTCTTTATTTATCTCACTTTCCAAAGAAAAGAAGAAAAAAAACTACAAAAACTCCAAACCAATCATGGTTTTCTTCAGTTCTGAGAAATGGCCAAACTAAGTTTCCTTAAAGGTATTTTTCAGCTGTTTGCTTCTCGCAACCTGAAGATAATCATTGAGAGAACAACAAAGTGCAATTCTTCCCAAACTCACCAGTGCCACCAGAGCTGTGTAACAGGGGAGAAGAGGGAAGGGAAAAAACCACAGTGACCTGGTGTTGGGAAGTGTCTGTAGTTGTTCATTCTCCTCCCTGTCTTCCTTTCCAGAATTATTTGATAATTACATGCAGCAGGATGCACACGAATTCCTAAACTACCTACTCAACACTATTGCTGACTTACTGCAAGAGGAGAAGAAGCAGGAGAAGCAGAATGGGAAGCTCCAGAATGGCAGCATTGAGAGTGAAGAAGGAGACAAGCCTGATCTGACGTGGGTCCATGAAATCTTCCAAGGAACACTAACCAATGAAACCAGATGTCTTAACTGTGAGGCTGTACGTGCACCACCAAAGCACTCCTCTTTAGCTTTCTCCCAGCTTCTGGATTGGTTTCCCTAACACTGAGCACCCTTTTTCATTCATTAGGGTAGATGAAATTGCACTGTCTCTGTTAAAATATGAAGCATAGCCTATTTTAGGACTCTATGTTCAAACCAGTGCTCATTAAGGTATGTTGCCCAGAAAAAGCCTAGTGTTTTCCCTGTTTCTCCTCCCTGTTTCCATCGAGGCAGCTGCACCTGGCTGATCCAAGCTGCCTTTTTGTCTCCATGTTATTCCCTGTGTCAGTGACTGAGAGTTTATGTTGTGTTCCTACATGAGAGTTGCTCTTAATTTAACTCTGGCACGAACTGAGTTGCTTGAACTGGAATTCTGTGTTGAGTGCTGGTCCTTGGCCACTCTATTTGAGACCAAAAAAAGTGGCATGAAGTCTAGAATTAGAACCACAGCACCTTCAGGCCAGGGATTTGTAGTTCGTCATATCCTCTGATTTAATAGTGCTAAAAAAAAAAGAAAACCCAGATGGGGAGAGAAATAAAAAACCCAAGAAGTGATTACAACAGAAAAGACTGCTCTTGGCAATTAAAATCTAAAGTTATAGCTATGTGGTGAGGGGAAGCTCTAAAAATGACATTAATAGGATTCTGTCTCAAGGTTTTTGCAGTGAAATGTGACTGTTCCACAAATGGAAAGATGGTTTTCCTCCCTGCTAACCCATTTAATTGAGGAGCCATCTGCCTGTTTCTGCCTTGCCTCTGAGTATTGACTGTTACACCCTGAAATGCAGCAGAAAGCTGCAGCAGGCTGCAGAGAAAATGGAATGTGGTTAAAACCTCTCCAGTGAGAGCTCTGGGTGTTTCAAACCTGGTTTTGCCAGTGAAATAATCAGAAGTGCCTTGAAGTCTAAAGGGGGAGAGATGTTTCATGAGAAAGTGTTTGGGGTTTTGTGCTTTTCTCCATGGGTTTTTGGCTTTGTTTTGTTGTTGATTTTTTTTAATGCTCCTCTTCAGATTTTAACACCACATCAGATTATTTAATCACTTTTAGTTTACCTCAAGAAAAGGCCTCTGTGTGTGTGTACATTTATTTTTAATCACTTTGCACCACTCCAGAATTGGATAAAAGAAATCTTCCGGCTCTAAATTGTTACCAAATATCTCTTCTTACTATTTTTTTTCAAGGTTAGTAGCAAAGATGAGGACTTTCTGGACCTCTCGGTTGATGTGGAACAAAATACATCAATTACACATTGTCTAAGGTAAACAGAATTCTTTGGGAATGGAAAAAATACCTGCCCTGGTCAGAAGGAAAGAGCCTGGATTAGTTATTCTCTGTAGGCTTTGATATGAGGTAAAATATTGTGAGTTTTGGAAGGTTTCTAAGTGGGTTTTAGTAGTTAATAAATAGTAGTGGTAGCTAAGATTTTCACTTTCTTTTATGGGGATTTGAATTTGTTAACATCACACAGCCAGGCTGTATCAAAAATAAACATGTAGTGTTTGGTTTTACAATAAATTCTTGATTATTTTCATATTCTTATTGAATTTCAGTTGCCTGGCCCTGATGTTAAGGGTCAGTTTGGCTCCATGCAGAGATTTGCTCCATGTGTTTGTCTGTTGGATCCAAGGCTTATCATCTGCTTGGATATTTAATTTGCATCCAGCATCTGGCTATTTAATAGCTGATAATGGATCTCTAATTGCTGGGAGCTGAAGGATCATCCAGACTTTGCTACTTAATGGCTGGAGATGTGAACATTTAATTTCTGCCACTAAAGAAAACATGGAATGCCTACTGATGGAAACAAAACTCAGTCACCTTCTTGCTGTTTATTACTTTTTCTGGCCAGAAAACAGGCAGTTAATAGTGCAAATTCCAGATTTTTCCAGCTGAACATTGATGCTGCTTCCCAGGAACGGGACAAATACACATCAAATGGGTCTGGGAGCACCATGAATGAAAGGAGCTTCATCCTCTGTGTGTTGTTTGGGGTTTTTTTCAGCATTTTCAGCCTGGATGCTCTGGAATATCCCTGCTCATGCCACTCTCTGATTTCCACAGGGGATTTAGTAACACTGAAACTCTATGCAGTGAATACAAATACTATTGTGAGCAGTGCCGCAGCAAACAGGAGGCACAGAAGAGGTAAGGGCCAAATATTCAGGCTGAGGGAGATGTTCTCTTTAAATTTCTGGGTGAATACACCTGGTGAATTCAGGCAAAGGAAAGGTGAGGTTGTCTAGGTCTGTGTTTGGTGAAGGAGAAGTGGAGAGACCAAGTAACTTCATGGTAGCCTCGTCGTGAGGAGATTCATTCTGTGTTTTTCCCTGAAGAGTTTCTATCTGGTGTTTCCAGACATCCACATTTTCCCCAGTTAGCATTAATCAGCTTAAACTGGAAAACATTCCATCTGCTTTGTCTGGGAGCACTGGGTACAAAAAAATCTTATTTCTCCCCTCAGACTTGGTCGCAGCTAGAGCAGCAACACAGATTTATTCCAGCTCTTTCTTCCCACTGATGGGTGAAAAATTGATGTTTTCTTGCAGTTGTCTTGCATTCAGATGTCAGTTGTGCTGTTAATAATTTGGAATAAATATTGCCTGTTCTCACTAAGAGAGAAAAAAAAAAGATTTTTTTATTCTATCAGTATTTTGGATTCCTTTTACGGCGCTTCCTCATAATGAAGCCGTTCTTGAACAAATCTTTCTTTGGGGTGATTTGCTAATCCTTACCCTTTATTCCCCACATTTTTGTGCTTCAGAATGAGGGTGAAGAAGCTGCCCATGATCCTGGCTCTGCACTTGAAGAGGTTCAAGTACATGGACCAGCTGCACCGCTACACCAAGCTGTCCTACAGGGTGGTGTTCCCGCTGGAGCTGCGGCTCTTCAACACCTCGGGGGATGCCACCAACCCCGACAGGATGTACGACCTGGTGGCCGTGGTGGTGCACTGTGGCAGGTACTGCTGCACATCCCTGCCTTCCCCTGCAGTTCTGAGGGAATCTCTCATCCCTGTGCTGTTTTATAACGCTGCTTGGCAGTGCAGGAGCACTGTCAGAGCTGGTTGGCTGGAAGTATTTGGATTTTTTTAAAAAATGTCTTTTTTACTAGGTTTTTTGCTATTTTAAGTTTTACTTTAAATCTTTTACTGTCGGTTTCTCTGGGTCTGGATTGAAAGCACTTGAGAAGGTAGTTCATGTTCAGACTCAGGTGTTTATTATTTCTTAACAGTGAAACAGCCTCACAACCATGAGTTCTGCAGCCTTTCATTAGCAAGGCACAAAAATGGCTAAAAATCTCTTGTTTTAAAAGATCTTTTAAGACTAAACTAGCCAATTAAGAACTGAGACCTAGATTATTTACTATTTTAAATTTTCCTTTACAGGCTCAGATTTGTCCTTTTGTGTCATTTTGTGTCATTTGTGTCATCAGCACAGTGACACATCAGACTAGTTCTTTCTTTGAGCTGTAGCAAAGAGCAGTCATTAAAAAACTCCAAAACAATAAAAACCCCCACCCCTAACCCTGCTTTCCAGGAAGTCTAAATGGAAGAAAAAGAAGTCTTGGAAAAACACCTACTGAAATAGAATTAAATTATATTTTTCATCTTGCTGCTGCCCAAACCCTTGAAGTTTCTTTAGAAGCTGGTGCCATCATGTGGAATAAACTGTGCACTGCTGGGTTTCTAAAATATCCTTATTTTCTTCATTAAATTTTGGTTTTAGCAGCTTCAGTTCTGGTTTTAAAAGCAAAGAGGAAAGAACGTCTAAGCATTTTAGGAAAGAAAGCCCTCTTGGAAGGGAAAAAATATTTCTAACTGCCTGCAGGAAGTGTGAGTTTTAAAGTAACCAGTTATGACAGCACATAAATGCTTTGAAATATCTTTGTGAGGGGAAAAAATTGCTAGTAATGCATAGACTTAGTATAAATAAACTTCATATAATTCTAGAAGATTTTTGTTGTGGTGCAGTTATAGTTATATAGAATTGTTACCATTTTAGGATCTCATGCAATCCATTTTCTTGTGTAGTTTTTATTTGCCATACCTGTGCCTCCACTTACATATTTGGATAATGGTGATTAATTATTCAGGTTATTAAGTCATTTTCTTTTTTTTCCTCAAACATTTTATCCTGTTTGGAGCTTTTAGGATTCCTGTAGCTCGCCTGCTCTCAATTCTTACTGGGAATTTACCAAAGGCTTGAGATAAATGAGATTTTCTGAATATTTTGAGTTCTCAAAACTTGTTTGAAATATTTTGCACGTAGGGTTTTATTACGGTTTAAATTTAAATTAGGTTTAAGTTTAAATTTAGTTCTATGTAGTTGCCCTAAACAAAGGAATTCCACTCTGTGAATTGGAAACTTCCACCAGAAAAGTGGGAAGAGCTCTCCCAGAAGATCTGGCTGTGGTCAGGTTAATCCACACTGAGAAATTAAGGAATTCCTGCTGTGAAATAAAATATTTCAGAGCTGGTTTAATTCAAAACTTCAATTTTAATCAAAATACTCAGCAGTGGTGAATACAACAAAATAGAGATTGAAATATTTTTAATTTTGGTTTTTAAAATCTATGAGTGATGATATGAAATATTTACAGCATTGTGTGTTTTTGATATTTTGTATTTTCAAGTAGCCAACTGTGACATTTTAATTGAAGCAATCAGGCAAAAATCCAAAAACCTCCCCAGGGGAAAGCTGGGAAGTGGAGCTGGGACAGCAGAGGTGATTTTGGGGAGGGCAGTGGCTCCTGGCTGATGAATGTCCATCCCTTTTCCTGCAGTGGCCCAAACCGTGGGCATTACATCACCATCGTGAAGAGCCACGGCTTCTGGCTGCTCTTTGATGATGACATTGTGGAGGTGGGTAAGGAAAACAAAACACCCAAAACCCATTGCAGCCCATTTTTGGGCTCCTTTCCATTGCTAACTTGCATTTCACTGCTGCACTTAAGAGCTTCTCACTTTTTTTTTGGGTCACTTTTCACCAACAAATTGTAGAAAAAAAATTATTTTTAGTGATGATGTTGAAACAGCTCAAGCAAATTTTTCCTTTTCTGCCAACATGTCTGTAAAGGCTGCTATCCACAATATTTATACATCCATGGATTTCACTTAATTATTAAGCAAATATCAAACAGCAGAACAAATGCCACAGCAGAGCTGCTTTTTGTAAAGATGAAAATGCTTTGTTTGTCTTGGAGGTCCCGTGGTCAAGGCTTGATTAAGTGTCTAAATAGCAAAATCCATGCTTGTGTTGAAATAAAAATGTAGGACATTCCCCATTTTTAATTTTTTTCAATCTTTGCATGGCTTTGAGCATCAGGGGTGGCTCCCCAGTGTGTGTGGCTGTCAGCAGTTCCCTTTTCCCCATTTTTATGTTATTGGGGTCATTTTCCTCTGTTTCTGTCATAGTCCAAGTACAAAATTGTGTCACCTAATTTGGAAATAGTGTTCAGCCCAATATTTTGAAATGCAAGTATTCTCTGTCTTTTCCATCCAGGAGATGAACTTCACGTTTTAAAAGATGGAAAATATTTTTTCCACCCTCTTATTATGTATTTGTTTTCTATCAGTCACTTCTATGTTATATCTTCACTTTTAGGGCAAAACCAAATTTCTGTTTATCTGCAAGCACTGTTGACACTTTCATAGATGTGCCAAAAATGGCTTTTAAATTGTGCTGTCTGTTATTGGGCAGTAAATCCAAGGAGCTGTCGTGTAGTTCCTCTCTTCTGGGAAAAAAACACACATTTTTTTCCTTTATGTTCCTTTTCTGTCTTCAATTCTGGCTTGCTTTTGGTTTTCAAGTTCATCTTCTTTTATATATTTTTTTAAATGCTGTAAAAACGAAGCTCTTTGGAGGGTTTAAATTCTAGGTGTGGCCACCTAACAAAACAGGTTTGAAAAGGTGAGTGCAAAGCTCTTGTTCACAGATATTGCATCTGAAAGCCAGGAAAAGCCTTTTCCCCCTGAAATACAGAAAGCTTTCTTGCATTTTTGGCAAGTGATGTGAGTGAACAGCTCCAAACTGAAAATAGGAAGGAGTTTGTCCTCATTACCCACTAAATGTCAGCAGTGGGGAAGGCAGATTTATTTGTCTGTTACGATTTCATGGGAGGGCCAACTCTCAATTAAATTGGAGATTGATGATCCCCAAACATCCTGCAGCATATGGGGAAACAACAAATCCAGGGGACAACTCAGTCCAAGGGGGATCCTGAGCCAAGCAAAATGGATTGAAAACCTGAGCCAGTGATCTGTGGCTGATCTGAGTTTGACATTTGTCACCAGAGCAGCCAGGGGATGCACCCAGTGCCAGAGTTTACCTGGAAACATCATCCAGGGAGCTCTCCACACTGAGGGGAGGCACAGAATGGCTCTGCCTCAAAAACACCTCAGGGATTTGAGTGCTGACACTGGGATTGCAGAACTGCATTTGGTTTGGAGAACCAGAATAGATGTCTGGAAATGAGCAAATCTCAGTTTTCAAAAAACATAATTTTTAATGCCAGGTGAGGTTGCAGAATCCTAAGAGTTGTAGCTTTAGAGTAACAGCCATCCACTGGTTGTTGCTCTGCAGTTACAACTGGGTTAAACTATATCTGGTCAATAAGAATGGGAAGAACAGAATCTATATAATCCCCTTTCAGTTCCACTCTGTTTTCTGTGCATAGTGAAATTAAAGAAGGAAGTCAGTTTTTCTGTGCTGAAACTAAAAATATCTGAGGCATGAATTAATATGGATCAAATGTTTGAGTTGCATTCAGGATGAGTAGTGGAAATAGGCTTGATTGCATGGCAAGTGAGCTGGCACTTAAAATAAAACATGTTTGACTTGTCTGCTAAATATACTGCAGGAGCTGAGGAGTGTTCTTTCACTGTATTTCTGTTAAAATGTGCCTCTAACAGTCTGGAGTAACGTTATGTTAATAAATGGTGTGAAAATGCACCAGTCTCAGCAGGGGCTTTCAGCTTCCCCTCACTCCTTGAATGGAGAAAAGACAAAATATCTGTTAGGGGGATTTTTTCCCCTCTAATTTTTTAAGAGAAGGTGTTTAACAAAACCCTTCCAGAGAGAATTTCTGCAGTTGATGCATCCTCTGAAAACTCCTGTCTGTTTTTTCTTGTGCTGGGAAAAGGCTGCTCCCAGCTCAGTGCTGTTTGGCAGTGCCACAGGGAGAAGCCAGTGCTGCTGAGCTCGTGGTGATGCCAAAATCTGCTCAGGGAGCAGAGATTTCACCTTCTCCAAGTGGGTTCTGCAGCTTAAAAGAGGAGGGTCCCTTTCTTTTGAGGTGTAATCACAGGTTGGTCTCTGCTCCTCCTCAGGTGGGCAGGTGTTCCACCCAGAGCTTCTTGTGTTTGCAACGTTCCTTTACTTCCTCAACTTTGTTCCTTGGGAGTAAAAGGAAACTTGAGGTTCATCTCCTCCTCAGCCTCTCATTTCTGGGGATCCAGAGTCCTAAAGGGATTAAAAAACTCCATCTCAGTGGAGTGCTGAGCAGCACAGGTGCCTGGGAATGTTTTATTCCAGTCCCTGGGCTGCAGGATCCAGCTCACTGGTGGGAAGCCAGTTGTGCTCAGGACCTGGACCAGGATATCTTAAAAAACCCTTTAAAATTCCCTCCAGTTGCTGCTTGGAGTATGAGAGCAAAGCAGCTTTTCTGCACAGAGGTCACAACTTGAAATACAAACAGATTTTCTTAAGACACAAACCTTGTGGTAATACTCCAGAAGGCTTTGCTTGGTAGAAAAGCTCTTTTATGACCAAAGATCATAATTAGATGATACCCACAGAGCTCAGGAAGCACTTGCAGGATTTTTCTCCTTAAAAGGGTCACAATAACTTTGAAATGTGGAGTTATTTTAGCTGAATTTTCAATCTACACATCTGTACAAAAACCTTCTTGCCTGATTAGTGACTGATTTTTTTTCTTTTATTATAAAATACTCAGGCAAGGTACCAGCATGAGAAAAGCAAATATAGGAATATCTTGTAGTCCTTTAAGGATCCATTTTCATGGATCACTTGTTTTGTAGTCCAGCCTAGGACTGCATCCCTTCTAAGAAGTTTATTATTTCATCCTCATTTCCTGTTTTTTCAATAGTCAGTAAGTCATTAAGTGGGGAAAAAAATGTTTTGTTGGATTGAATGATGTTGGAGTGTCACCATGTCAGCACTGCTTGGCTTTCCAGATCACCTCCAAGAGCTGGGAACAATGGTTTATCTGGGAAAAGGCTTTTAGGGTGGTGATGTGATTGAAGCTAATTCAAACTTCCATTAATTTTCAGAAAATTGACGCCCAGGCCATTGAAGAATTCTATGGGTTAACATCAGACATTTCCAAAAACTCTGAGTCTGGATATATCCTCTTCTACCAGTCCAGGGACTGAGACAAGAGACACAGAGGATGGACACAAGGAAAAGGGATCAAGCTTTGTCCGAGTGGAACACGTTTGTGCCAGCAGAGCAGTTCCTCACTGCTGCTGTAGGACCAGGACAGACCCAGGGGGAGGGGAGAGCTCCCTCCTGCCCTCTTTGGAGGATTAGTGCTGAACTGCCCTAACAAGAAGAGCTTTTGTTCCAGTTTTCTTTCTGGGCTTTTTTTTTTTTATGTGCTATCTTCCAAAATCTGTGTTACCTCTACTTGAAACCCGGCTGCTTATTTGTTCATGAACTCAAGAAGAGATTTCAAAGTAGCATTGTAGGATTTTTACCATTTAAAGTTGGCCTGAGGCTATACCTTGGTTTCTGCCATCGTTTTTCTGTATTTTAGCAGAACGATTTCAATATTCAGTGTCAGCTGAAGGCATATTTTAGGATATGAGCAGCAGCTGGTTGCTGGATATTTTTGGTGACTCAGACTTGAGAAGCAGTACAAAGCTAAGACATATTGGAAATGTCAAGTCTGTAATTTTTATAAAGAAAAAGCAGACAAACCCTTCTCTCTGCAGCACTGTAAACCTCCCCATTCTGCATTCTCTTGGGTTTAGAGAACACAAACAGCACTGCTTCTTTTTGTACTCTTATTTGTGCTGTTCTGTTTCTCCTGCAGAAGGCAGAGAACTGTCTCCACATCCAGCCTCTCCTGCTGTGCATTTTCCTTTGGGAGCAGCAGTTTTGCCTCCAGGCCCCGTTGCTGCCGGTTCCAGGGGAGCAGAGCAGCCCTGACCTGTCAAAGACCATCTCTGCTGTAGAAAAGTTGGGAATTCCAGCCTTTCTTGGAGCTGTTGCATAAACCAAAAGTGCCCTCATTCTGAAGCAGGATCTGTTCCACATTTCACTCAATTCCAAGCAAACTGATGCAGGTTGCATTTTGAATCTATGCTAATCCACAGAAACAGCACTAGTTGGGAAGGTTGGCCAGGGGTGTTTAGGGAACTAATCCAGGGGTTCTCAGTCTTCAGGGTAATGAACAGGTGAGAAGGAAAACCAACCAACCCAGCAGACATTACCTGGTCAGTGTTGCAGCCATTGTTGGTGATGTTTGTCTCCATCTGGGAATCATAACCCCCTAAAATGCTTCTGATTGTTTTACCTCTCTAGGCCTTGTTTCCCAGGGGAAATGGTTGGTCTGCTGAAGACTGAAATGAAGCAATTATCTCTTATGTGTATATATTCTAATCTCAAGGATAACTAGGAAGAAAGGACTAAGGAAGTTGGTGAGAAATCTCAGAAAATCTTGTGCAAGTTTCTTTTGGAGAAGTCCTGTTGCTGTGCCAAAGCCTGTCACAGCTGGTTCCAGCCTCCCAGTGGGAATGAGTGTTCTGCTGGGTCCCTGAGCTCTGTGTCCTCAGTGTGGCTGTCACAGCCCCTCATCTGTCCCCAGTGCTTGTTGTTCTTGAGGATCTTTAACTTATGCAATTCTGTGGCTTGTGCAGGATATTCAATATTTTACCAAAACACTGTCCTCAGGAAAGCAGCATCTCACAGCTCCTCGTGCTGCCTGTGTCTGTTCCTTCCTCTCATGACCACAAAGGTGATGTTTAGCAATTAACTCCTGCCTTCAAAATGCAAATGAACCATTGCCATTGTATTCCAGCTGGGTACAGCTTCCATTCTCCTGGTACATCTCTTCCAGAAGATAAAATATGGACATTGGGTTTTTTAATTCTTTTTTATTATACAGAGTACTGTCATTTTAAGAGACACATTCAACAGCAGCAAATGTTCTTGTCATCATGTTCCTGTTGTGTGACAATTGTTCCTGGCTAAGAGTCTTCTCCCCTTCTCCACACACAAGCTGTGAGTCCTCTCCTGGTGATGCCACCAGAAGACTCTCATCACTGAGTCTTGCAAAAAATGAAAAAAAAAAAAAAAAGAGAGCACTGAGTTAAAAATAATCTAAACAGTAAATAAAAAAAGTAATGTAGTACACTAGACATGTATTTTGTATATCTGGTGATACCTTTTTACAAATAAAATACCTGACTGAGAGATAATATTGAAAGATATATACTATAGATTAAAAACTGTTCAAAGTGCACTTTTGCTACAGATTTATAAGGAGACTAAAAGGAATTAAATGGGAAGAGAATGGTGTGATGTTACTTCTGTATAATAAATGACCCCACCTGTCTCCAATAAAGGTCATTATGATCAAACCCACAGCACCCAGAGGCTTTTCCTTGAATTTCACTCCTTAACTTCTCCCAGCCTGCTGGCTGGCTGAGGATGCTGATCCTGCTGTGTTTGCATCCCTACAACCTGTGCAGGAACGGGTCAGAGCAGGAGAATTGAATAATTCAGTGTCAGAGATTGTAACTGCTGCGCTGGTGCAGCAGGGAGAGGTTACCCAGGGCCTCTGTTCCTCCATCCTTCCATCACCCCTGCAGCTCTGCTGCTGCCTTTCCCTGGGATTTCTCCTCCCTCTTTCCCCTTGTTTTGGGCTTCCTGAGACTTTGTTGCAAATATCATCTGACTGATCTGGAGCAGAGACATTTAAAGGCAAAACCAGGAGCCTGTGCTTGGAGCTGTTGAGGTTCATTGCAGGACAGGTTTTCATTTCGTTGTGGTTCACTGCAGTTCACCTTTGCACAGGAAAATGGGATCCTGTGAGTAGGAATTTATGGGAATACCATGCAGTAGGAGCAGGGGAGATTGGAAGATGGCAGCTGCTCTGTAAAACCATGTTGTAAATCCCAAATGCTGTCTGGCCCTTGTCCTGCTGGGTCACACCTTAGCAGGAAATAAGTAAGTGAGCTAATTTTAACTCCAGTGAACATGAGTTGGACCTGCAGGAAGAGCATTCCCTGGAAATTGGGAGAAAACAACCAAATCCAGAAGGGCTGAAAGCAAAGTGGTTTGAGCTGAGTGCCACTGGGGCAGGACTGATGCTGGAATCTGGGAGCTGGGTTGGTCCCTGCAGCTCCTCTCCAGACCCTCTACTGGAGTGAGGGTGGAGACCATCCCATGGTTATTATTTCTCTATGAAATGATATTTTGCTTCAGATTCCACGGATCCTGCAGTGTTGGTGGAGAGGTTCTGCCCTTGGCTCTGCAGCACAGAGGTGCTCTCTGACCTGCTGGTGGTGCTCAGCACGTTCCGGGTACCAGCAGGAGCTTTTGAAGTCCCTGTGCCAGCTCAGTTTTGGAGATACTTAAAACAAATCCTATCTGATGGGTACAAGAAATAAAATGGACTGAGAAAGGCCCCTGAGACAATTCAGACCTTCCCATTGTGGGCTCGGCATTTAGCAAAAGGAAACAATCTCTGAAACGTAATTAATTCCCAACGTGTAAAGTGCTGCACTAATTAACCTCGGGGCTGCTGCTGCTCTGCTTCCCTCTTGCTCCTGCAAACCCCGGCCTGGCTGGGCAATCTCTGTGGTGCCAGAGCAGAATCCGGGTGGGATGAGGTGTCTGGGAGGGAGAGCTCAGGGTGGGGAGGGTTAGAGAGGAAGCAGTGGCACTGGGGTGGTGCCAGGGTCACCCTGTCCTTGTGCTCTGCAGCCAAAGCTGCAAGGGAAATGCTTTGATCTTTACGCATCATTTGTGGCAGAATGAATGGCCTCAAAGTGACACTGGGGCAGTTTAGGTGGGATACTGGGAGGGAATTTCTCCCTGGGAGGGTGGGCAGGCCCTGGCACAGGGTGCCCAGAGCAGCTGTGGCTGCCCCTGGATCCCTGGCAGTGCCCAAGGCCAGGCTGGATGGGATTTGGGATAGGGGAAGGTGTCCCTGCCATGGCAAGGATGGACTGGGATGATCCTTAAGGTCCCTTCCAATCCCTCCCCTTCCTCGTGGTGCTTGTTTGGATCTGCTGGAGTGTGGGGGAAGTTTCTGCACCCGCAGGAGAGGGAAAGCTGGGAAGGGAAGCATGAATTAATTACACAGCAGCAGCAGCTGTTAAATATTTGAGTTGCTAATAATGAGTGCATTTAGTGGTTGTCAGTTGTTTTAAAAGCTCCTAAATACAAATAACAAACACAAATACAAAACACTGCAGTGCTTGCAACACTTCAGCTTGTGTAAAATCAATTAAAAATATTCAGATAGTCTCAACTGGGTCTTCCCTGGTGATTTCCAAGTCCCAGGCAGTGTGAAGGAAGGGCAGAAGGGCAAGGATGGGGTTTGGGAGCTGCATTTGGGGTTGGGAACATCCCAGACCTACCAGGGTTCATTTTGTTTTCCAGGTGTTTTTTAACTGGGGTGAGCTGCTTTAACAGAACGTGTTCTGTGAGGAATTTTGATGTAGAAAAGATTTAACATTTACTCGGATTTAAGGCCTGGAATTAGCAGGGCCAAGCCATCAAGAGCTGAACTGAATCTGGGGCTGCTGCTGCCACCAGCCCATGGGAGGCTGGGGCCAAATGCAGCTGAAGTTTGTGAGTCCCTGAAATCGCAGGTGGAGTTCAGCAGGAGCTGAGCGGGTTTGGTAGTGATTAAGTGCCCTAATTAGCACTCAATGAAGTGTTTTTGTTTCCTTCTCTGAGGGGCAGCCACAGCTACTCCAGCAAATCACTGCCAGGCAGAAGGCAGGGAAAGTGCTGTGGGGGATGGGATGGGATGGGATGGGATGGGATGGGATGGGATGGGATGGGATTGGGATTGGGATTGGGATGCCCCAAAGGAAGGGAAATCCCATCTGTCAGTGCAGACCCAGCTGTGTCCAGAGGCACTTGGGATCACAGGGTTGCTCTCTTGGAGATCTTTGTGGGATAAACCCACTCAAAGCCAGCAGGGAAATGTGTTTAGCCAGGAATCTCATGTTGATGACAACTCAGAGACCTCCTTGTCTGGGCTCCTTTGCATCCCCCCCAGTATGGGTCTG